CCCCCCGCCCCCCCCCCCCCTCCCCACCATCACCATCACCCCAGTTCCCGTTTGAGAAAGGAGTTTCCTTTCCAGTAACATGCAAAGAATGTTGAGTCCAATAGCCTGGGACCAGTGGATTTTGTCATCAAACTAGAGGATTCTGACCTTCACTTAGTTTCTTAGTTTCTGACCTTCACTTTAGTTTTGTGGAAATTCAAATCACATTGGCAGGGCTGTCATTATGTCTTAAGTCACCTGTAGCCTTGTTCTCCACACCCATAACAAATGTGTTACTTTGTGGTCAAATTCTATCAACAACTGGCAATATCACCTGTAGCATGAAGGGAAAATCAAGCATACTCAGCTGTAACAGGTGTTACAGGTTACGGCCCTTAATGACAGCCCTGCATTGGTACTGTAAGAGATGAAATTTTGGGAGACTAGTGAGGAATTACGATGTTTGGTCTAGTACGTCACAATTACTTTTTTTGGGAGGAGGGTTTACACATTGTTGCAGCAGCAGATGATTTCCCAATCAGGGCTTACAGGGCTGATGTGATTATCATGTTACAAAATTATGTCATTAGCCTCCAACGAACACTAGCCCCAGCATTCAGACATCTCTTTTTGCATACTCATTCAAATGAAGGGTGTTGAGAGAGAGGAAGGTTGAACCCAAGAGAAAAAGGGGGCAGGGTACTAGGAGAGAAGGGGCAGAAAAATTTTGGCAATGCATATTAATTTTGCAAAAAAACAAAGAGTTGTCTAGAGCCATGGAGGAAAAAAACATGGAAGTCAATTTTGAAAAAGTTCTTTAGTGTAAAAATCGAGTTTCCTTCAGGCCTCAACTTTTTGCCGAATAGGTGGCAGCTCTGCGGTAGCATGGGATGATGCTGATGTTAGCTGATAAGAGTTGAAGTAGATTCTTGCGTCTGGTGTTGATTCCTGAGTGCTCTCAGGCTATAAAGTTGTTCTCTACAGGTGTGGATTGTCTGCCATCAGTATGGCAGCAGAACTAATACAAAATCAAAAAGCTGATACTGGAACAGCATTTTGTGCTGGGCAGGAACAACATAACAAGGAGTTAGGCAACTTACTGTCCATGGCAAGATCAAAAGGTTATTCACAGCAAGGTGAAATGTACTCAGCAGAAAACCTGGGTCAGCTTGCTAAGGAGTTTTATGGACTTGGATGTCAAGTTATAAGTTATGGATTTGAGGATCATCAATTTATTGTCTCAGAATTGCTAAAGGGATCTGCTGTGCTTGTTCCTTATGATGCTGATAAGAACCATAAGCCTTGTCTGGAAAATGGGCACAAAGCGCATTGGGCTCTGCTAACAGGTCAGTGTGATAATTTTGAACATAGTTTTCATGATAGTTTTAAACTTACAAGAAGTCATAGAAACCCCATGTTGGCTGAGGATCTAGTATTGTCTGAGGAGGAGGCGGCTACCCAGGGGTTTCATCAAGGACAGGGCAGCGGGCAAATTGACCGGCTGTGAGCAGGGCAATTTTGCAGGCCTGGTTTGACCATTTAGAGAAGAAGTTTGTTTGTTATGAAGAAGTTCAGTTCAAAAAGTTTCTTCTGCCTGCCTGCCCACTTTACACGGATCATGTGTACTTAAGGCATCTGTGCAGTGGTTGAGTGTCGATTGATATCCTTGATCGATACACTTGATCAACATATTGATCGATACTTGGTGGACACTTGATTGACACTTGATCAACAGTCGGTCTATGGTCAGCCAAGTGTCAAACGACTCAGATGCATCAGTTAAAAAGTGGTTAACTGTCAACCAAGATGTTGATGGTGTGTTGATCAAGTATTAACTGAGTTGTTGACAGAGTGTCGATCAATACCCTCGATCGACACTCAACCACGGATGCCTTTAGTACACATGATCCCTTTACACTAGCACGTATTATAATGGAAAATACTTAGATTTTTGCTGTAATAGTTGGTGAAGTTGACTAAATTAAGCCTTGTCATTTTGTAAATGTTACGTTTTTAAAACCTAGGTGTCCTGTGTCAGCTAGATGACAACATAATTGACTGGACAATGTTTAAGCAAGATGAGGAGGTGCCCGTGTTGTTTCATACAAGTCCTTCATCTACATTTATCTTACCACACAACTGTAAACCACAGAACACATACTTCTGTGCTAAGCATGGTAAATCAAGCCATACAGCTGTTTGGGGTCTGGACTGTCTGAAAAGAAGCAATGCAAACCTTTTTGAATTAGACCCTTCTAAAGAAAAGCAAGTTGGTAACTTCATTGTTCCTGAAGAGGGTATACGTGTCGGTCTCTGTGAGAAAATATTAGTCATTTCTGATCAAAGATAGCAAACACCCCTACGAGAGGGGTAGCAATTCTTTAAAAGATGTGTTTGCAAACAAAATTATTTTATTAACCTGTTCTGAAAATAATGTCATCCAGACTAACATATTAGACAAGTTGTTATGCATGTAATAGAAAACAGTTTAGTATTTAAGGTATTTAAAATATTCACCCAGTTCATTTTATCATCAGCATATACAGTTGAATCCCACTACTTTGAACTCTCAGAGGAAACACAAAGTATTTGAAATGGCGGGAGCTCGAAGTAGCCGATAGTTAATGACTGAGAGGTAAATTCAAGGGAAATGGTTTTGAGTTTGAAATAACGGGGAACTTGAAATAATGAGTTACAATCAATGGGATCCAACTGTATGTCTAGTAACATTTAATCAGTAATAGTCATGGTATTTTCAAGACTTCAAACATTTGATTTCATGACCCTAACCCCAGTACAGCCAAAGTTTTACTGCTAAAGGAAAAAGGTTTTCAGGGTTTGCCCTGTCATTAACAGGAAAAAAAGATGAAACAAGAGGTTCAAATTTCCTGCTATTTCCATGACTAAACTGTGCATAGATAGTATTGCACTTTCTAGGTTATAAAGCTAGCCATTAAAACGTTATGACTACATTTCTTTTCTCTTGAAATTATTTACATGTTTTTCTTTTAATTCTTGCTCAACAATCACAATCTGGAACAAAGTAAAATCGTAAAATTCTTTCACAAAGATTTGATCCAAGAAACATGATTTTAAACAACCTCGAAATAGACCAGCTATTTCTTTCTACTATTACATATTTTCCCATCATTTGATTCTGAATATTTGAATTTACGGATCATGTGTACTGTGGGCATCTGCAGGCGAGTGTTGATTGATAGCCTTGATTGATATCCTCAATCAATACCCAAGATCAACACCCTTGATTGACACTCAATTGATACCCTATCGACTCTCCATTGACACCTCAGTTGACACTCCATTAACATCTCGGTCGACAGGCGGTCAACAGTTGTCTAATTTTCAGTTGATGCATATGAGTCAGTCAACACTCAGCCAACCATCGACTGACTGCTGATCAAGTGTCGATCGAATGTCAACTAAGTATTGATCGCGATGTTGATCAAATACCTATGGAGATGTTGATTGAGGGTATTACGATTATCAGTTGAGTAAGGCGGGACAAAAGTTTGCTCACCAAGTTTTAAAGTAAAAATCCTATTGTTGTCACGAGTAACTGGCTCTGTATCCATTGACAACTTGTCGGCCTTTGACATCATTCGCAGCAAAGTGTGCAAAATTGTAAGCGATGCGACAGGCGATGCACGGCTGTTGATATTGTTACCAACAGAAATGAGGTAAGTTGCTCGTGACAACACCATAATTTTAAGGCCAAAACTTCGTAACCAAACTTCCCTAGTGCCTTACTCAACTGATAATCATAGTATCAATCAAGGGTAATGATTGACACTCAACTGTGGATGCCTTTAGTACGCATGCTCCAAATTTACAATAAGCTTCACTGTTCCACACCTTCATTCAATACCAGCTTGACACCAACAATAAAGGTCTTAAAACAATTCTCTTCACGAGACCATTGCAAAGCCCTAATAATTTTGTCTGTAAATAGCTCCAAAGGAATCGCCTAAGCACAGTGTTATTAGAACCTAAAACTTAAAGCCCTGGCCAAACAAAGCTAACAACATTATGATCCAAAAACAAAACTTGCCATAATGACTCTCTGAAGGAATCACTCAGTAGCGATATTGGACTTGAACGCAACGAAGCCTACTAAACAGCCATGCACACACATGGTCATTCTGTGGATATGGTTCTTTTTCAGTTTTAGAATAATGCTGACCAATGTCATTTTCGATATGAACATGCTAACAAACAATAAAAACGCCTAAAAGGTAAGATGATCACTCTCACCACTTTCATATGAGCTCTGCCCAGGGATGATGCTAGTCTTAACTGTTCTTTTCATTGAATTCAAACCTCTGACTGCAAAGTTGGCCCTAAATTTCCATTAGTCAAGTATATCTTACATTAACCAGACACAAAATTGTTCATGCACCATTGACAGGCACTCAAAATCAAAGGATGAAGAAAAGGAAATGCAATATGAGAAAGCCATGAAACTATTCAGTACAGCTCACTGAGGTAAAGACTTAGAAATTAATTTACACACCATATGCATACGTATATGGATATGTTTGATAGCTGATTTGCTAACTTTGCAGTTGGTTTGACTAAAAGGTTTTGTAGCCTTGGAAATGATGGTAATTAGCATTGATAAATTGATACTTGAACAACCATGACCTGAATTAACATATTCAAATGTGCTTACATAGCAACATATTAAATCAAAGGAATAGCATTATGGATCATGTACTAACGGCATCCGTGGTCGAGTGTCAATTGATGCCCTTGATCGATATCTCGATCAACACTCTATCAACACCTCAATTGACACCCAATCGATGCTCCATCGACATCTCAGTCGACAGTCAACTAATTTTCGATGTCAGTCAACACTTGGCTGACTGTCAACCAACTCTTGATCAGGTGTTGATCAAGCATCGACCGTGTATTGATCGGGATGTCAATCAAGATGTCGATCAAGGGTATCAATCGAGGGTATCAATCGACACTCGACCACAGGTGCCTTTAGTACACATGATCCAGCATTTTTTGTAGCATGATCCAGCATTTTTTTGTGTGGTATTACTATTCATTGCTTTGTTTGACCTGGCTGGAGTTTTAGTGTCTCTATGGACATTTTCAACAACTGCACTTTTAAGACAATAAACATTAATGCTTTAGAAGGCCTGTGTTTTGGTGCAGCTAACATGTCTGTAAGGAACCAAGGTACCTTTCACCATAGCACATGGTAAATTTTCTTTATTGATCAAACCAGCTACCCTGTTGATGATGTTCTGTCCTTTTTCACATGCTCCACTGCTGTTTGCAATCTTGAGCAGGATTTTGGTTGTTTTCTCAATCCTCTTGTATCTTTCCACCAGAAGTTGTTCCTTTTCAGCCTTTCCCCTCGTCAAGAGCTGTTCTCTGACTTTTTGTTTCCTGCGAAATTCTCGGCTGCACTGTTTGTTCCTTTCTCTTCTTTTTCTCTTTTTCTCCTCTTGTTTTTTCTTTCATGAAATTCAAAACAGAATAAGAACTTAGTTATGAGAATGTCAGCCATATGACAAAAATTTGCTAGCACTTAATTTCTCTTGGGAGGATTCCCTAATAGGTTCCAAGATCCTGCTTCATGGGCGTGGCCTGAAATGTTTTTCGCCCCTAAGAGGTACCAATTCTAAAACAACATATCTCCCGTCACATTTTTTGGTTCAAAACCCAAAAAGATACCGAAAAAGCTCCCACTGTGGACCATTTGAGGCTGAACTCCCCCCACCCCCCTCCTCACAGGCTTAATTTCCAAGTTTTGATCACTACTTCTAACAGTTTCTTACAGGCACACTTAGTAATGTGCACGCCATACCAGCAAGTTGGGATGAATGTACTCAGAAATGCAAGGAAACTTACTATTTCATCACTTAGATCTTCACTTGATGTTGAAGGTTGACCCAATGAAAAAGGAGCTTCTCCTGCTTGAATACACTCCACAGTCATGCCTCGTCCTGTTTCTGCAGCTTGCCCAGTCCATACCGTACCATCCCCTGGCTGCACAAAACTGCAGCTGTTGACAGATCCAGCTACTGAAGGCAAGACTAGAGGCAGCGGCTCGTAAAATGTCCGAAAATGCTGACAATCACTAAACTGCTGGCATTCATCTGTGCCACTTGCTGAGAAGCCCACATTCTGGGAGTTGAATTCATTGCTCCCTGCCTCTTGCCAGTAATTTCCAGCCAAAGCTGAAGTATCACCAGACCCAATCTCATCTGAATTAAAAATTGGCATAAAAAATTTATAAGGCTCCGCGAATTTAGGGATCGTATAGATTACACTTATGATGGTACACTTATGATAGTACAGATGTGAAAGAGAGATTTGGTTTTGCTTTTCAGCAATTGATCCATTTAAATCTTCGTTAATCATTATTCTAACCTATAAAATTGTCCGTCTTTTTCTCAGACCTTTTCTGCTTTCAAGTGTTTTGTCGATGGATGTTGCTCAGATGGCCGATGTACGTTTTGTTTTAACCTTATAATTAGCTACCCAACATGCCTAGCCTTACAATTATATAGCCCTATGATTAATTTAGTTAGTACCTAATTTAAAAGTGTCATTATGATATTGTAATGAGGTGCAAATGGACGTTGTTATTGTTGACCTGCAGTCAAATTAAAAAGCCCTGTTTTGACGAAGCACAAATTGAAATTAGATGATTGAGTTTTACCGTGATATTCATATGGTCTTTGAACAAGGACCATGTGAAATACACCTGAGTCAACGTAGTGAGCAGGGAATTTAGAGATTTTTTTATCTTAAAACTTTATTCCTTTGCAGCAATCAACCACTTGGTTCGCACAATCTCGTTGAAAATATCGAATTTTAAAAAACGGCATCATTGGTTTCAACGATTGTTTGCAGAAAAAGAGCTAAGCTTAGTTTGTACTAACAAATAAACTCAGCGAGCAACAACCACTTACAACGTAAGCTACTTTTTAAGTCTTAAGCTTAATTATGATAAAAGATTTTAAAAGCTCAACTCAAGTTAAGATTAAGCTCAGCTAAAGCGCTTTTCTTACCAAGAAGTTGCAAAAGGTCCTTATTTTTGTTCAAGCGACTTGCTTCGAGTATTTCTTGGATTGAAGCTGAGTGAGGGTCCACCTGATCCACATTAACAGAGCTCACAGCTTCTGATAATTCTTGGTTAACAAACCACTGGTACAGTCCTGGACCTTTTGGAACACTAACGAAAAGAAATGAACAAGATTTAGAAAATGGCCTTTCTGTTTTACGAAGTGAACCTACCATCCTGCTCAACGGCTGTTATTTCAGCTCTAGCGCAGCTGTAGGTGTAAAACCACTTTGCTTACCACTCATCATCGTCTTGCTCTTGTTTGACGTCGAGGTTGATTTGCCATTGCATGGAATTATTATTTGTCATTTCTTCGCCAATTTCGGCTGACGCCTCACCTCGCATCATGCAAACCTTCTGTGGCGAGGGTTTCGTATCGGTTTCCAGCGTGGTCTCGCTTGCTTCAGAATGCATGGTGGAAGACAAAGCTTCCATGTTATCGATAAAGCAACGCAGACTAAGACTAAGTTTAGAAATAGGCTTAGAAAAAAACTCTGGAATATGCGAAAGATAGCTTCATCATGCGGACTTCTCATCAGGCCGGCGGACCGTTGACTGACGTTGACTGACGTTGTTCATTTCAAAACTAGGCTCCGCCTCCCGCCATGACGTCACGGCTGTCGTGGCAGCAGGTGCGTTTGGCGGGAAAATTTCACTTGTTTATCATTTCAGTGTTGTTTACGCCAACACTACCATTGTTCATGGCGAGGAACTACAGTCTGGAAAAAATTCCCTGCGAGGATCAAAGAGTTGAAGACGACTACATTGACGACCTTATTCGCAAATATCTCTGCAGCGAAGACATGAATAGGTAAAGATTTCCGTTTGGTTCCCTTGGCTATTTTAGACCATTTTGGCTATTGTACATTTTGCTTACCTCTCATTCTTGCGTAATTAAGCAGTGTTTTAAAATGTAGCTATAATTTTAAAGCTGGGTAATTTTTTCCCTTCTTTCAAAACAACTGTTCTTTACCGCAATTTTGTTTTATTTTAATTTCACACTGTCAAGTTTATTTTACCTCAGCCTTTACGAAGAAACAAGCGAATCCTCACTAACCTCCCCCGAGGCTGACAAATGGCCCGGAGAAGCTATTTTCCCAGGCTTCAATTACAACCAAGATTTTCTGGTACCAGAACTCTTTTTACTGGGAAATATAGATTGCTTGCCTGAAAAGTATGACGACGTGGAACCCGAAGACGAGCTTCTGTCTATTTTGGAGGAAATAATAACGGAGGATAAAAAGAAAACTGAAGGTAAAGCAAAACCGTCCACGCGAGCAAAGCGCGCGAAGTTTAGGGCTTACATCAAATACTGCGTTTCACCACGCAATCTGTGGGACTATTTTATTTTGACCATAGGAAGGAGGACATAAAGCATGGATTTTTGAAACTCGTTCAGCTCTAATTTTGAGAAGAGTTTGACTTCACATATGACCACATTTCGCCTCCTTGAATATTTCTTCAGCAAGCGGGGTGTACCCTCGGGGGAAGGGGTGGGGGGTTGTGTTTGAGTGGAGGTAGCCAGTGACGAGTACTTTGTGAACCGCCATCCATGCGTTTAACAAGCATGTTTCGAATTGTAAAAATCAATATATCTTTCAGGAAGTTTTGAGTCACCAGTAAAAGAATCAGATGTTGACAACATTCTGAAGTCAGCTAACATTACCAACACCAACTCTGAAACATTAACCAAGGAAACAACATCACACAAAAGGAAAAGACCAGTAAGTAAATAACCAGTGCAATCTCTTTGTTGAACTCTGACAATAATGGTCTCAAAGGTGTAGCCTGAAAAGGTCACGAATCTGAATAGCAGTACAGGAAGATTACATTCCCAGACCAAGATTCAGTTTGGACTTTTTCTGTAATAGTGGTGCAGGGCTGCAAAATTCACTCCAAAAGATACCACTTACTGCTGATGTTGATTAACCTAATGTATTTAACAAAACTGTGACAAAATCAATAGCCTGGTTTTGCATATCCTCAGTGAACCTGACCATCCACATCCATGCAACACCCAAATGTAGATTGTGAAGTTACAGAAAATATCAATACCCACCCCATAGAACGTCACTGGAAATCCCAAGGGGGTGGGGGATATCATATGTCCAAATGTTAAAACGAAAGTATGAAGTTAAACTGGAATATCTTCCCAGAGGGGAGGGAATGAGTGAAATCCAAAAAAATATATTATTTTAGGGAAAAACATATTCCAGAAACGTGCTGTTTAAATCCTGTTTAGCATTCTTATAAACCAACTTCCTACCTCCAGAAGGTACAAGAAACACTTCTCAAATTATGTTACGCATCCTTAAACAAGTGTCCACTAAACAGGCCGATTGTTTAGTCATTACCAAAGCATAATAGAAACCAGATCTATTAAAATCCTTGTAATTTTAGTAAGTTACACCATAGGCATGTAATACATGCAAGAGGTATAGCTTTATAGGTCTTTATCTACATTTACATGCATATTTATTCAACAATGGACAAGAAATCATACTAGTGCTTACATCATAATGACACACCTTTCAATTTGCATATCTTTCAGAAAAGGACATCTACAGATACAGATAAGAAAGGCAAACGACCTTGCAGACAACCAATAATTATGAAAAGGGGAGCTAAAAGGAACAGAGAAGAGTAAAATGCTTCACAACTTGTTAACTGCTCAAAACATTGACATTAGCTGTCAATTGCCACTGAACCCATGGTACCAGTGTACCAACTGAATTATTCCTAAACATTACATTAAAAAAGCTTTGTGCAATGAGATTCATTCCGATCTTTTAGAGTGAAATGTACACTGTCTTGCCAGACATTAAATTATTATTAATGTAAATTTATGCTGATGCATTGTATTACTGCATGTAATCTAACTACGATATTTTTGTTTTTCAAGTCATTCGTAGACTGCATTTTTTAATAAAAATAATGTATTTTTGTAATGTATGGCATGTTTGTACAACTGTTTACATCTTCTACCAACAATTACTAGTAGCCATGAAAAATTTGGAGCTGAGGTGGTTGATCATCTCAGGTTTCTCACAAGTAAAGGAGAGCTCTCAACACATACTGGTGTAGTGACTGAATTATTGTTACTTTTAGCAATGGACACTTCACAAGTTGCATGCTCTTGGGACAGTCAACCAACAAACTACTGATACTCAATCATCTCGTACATCGTCAACCACTACCTTACTTAATTTGGATCAAAAACCATCCGTACTATTTATGTACGTACTGGTCTTCACAAATTGCGCAGTTCGTTACCCTCTCTACACAAGTACTGCAGGTCCAACACTCCATCACTAATATGACAACAAAAACCAGTAACAGGGTTTATTTTTCTTACAACCATACACAACATTATTGAGATTTCTCCTAAATGAGGATAGTGATGCCACTTTCTTATGCATAAATTTAAATGAGAAAAGGTTGTCAACTATCACGCTTATAAATTGAGAGCAAATAATCTAATTGTTAAATAGAAACACGAGTGGAAGTTTGGGAGAATGAGAAATGGTGTGGAAACACGAGTTGATAGGCTAGTACTTCCACAGCTTTTTCTAGTTCTCTTAAAATTTCATGTGTTTCAATTAAACAACAGAGTGTTTCTGTTGAGGAACTATCAGCTGATAGTTGCCCCGCAGAAATTTGATGTTCTTGAAACAAACATTTGCCCAAGAAACAAAGCTATGAGGGCAAACATACTAGTCTTTCCAAGGGGCGACTACCAGACCATTAGTTCTGAGACAAACAATCTATCCCTTTTAGTGTTCACCACTGAATTTTCTTCTGCACACCAGTTCAAAAATCGTATTGAAATGTTTTCAACTTTTTTTAGATGAGAGATGACAGAGACATGAAAGCCAAATATAAAATTTGAAAAAGGAAAACAAAAAAAACCCCTCTAAATGCAGAGCAATCAATTATTTATTTGTGCATGCAGCCTGTTTACAGAAAAATTTTCATGGATGAGTTGGACATGCACTATGGGCTGATAGTGTCTTTCCACCAATGAAAACTACTGCATCACAATCAATTTAAACCAATAAGAATTGGAGAAAATTCGGTGGTGAGCTATAAATCGTGATAGAAACTTGAGGAAAATTTTTGCTATCTGTTTTAGATAGGAGCCCAAAGAAAATAATGAACAGCACGACTATGACAACTTTTCTGTGTTTCTATTGAGTTACAGATATATGGTTTTTAACCAATCAGTGCACAGATTTCTTTATAATTGGCTATTCTAAACTTAATTAAAATTATTTAGTGCACAACAGTACAGCATGTGTAGTAATTTATTTGTATATACCTATATTTGTCTAATAATATTTATTTCCTTATTTTCTTTTCATAGTACTTGTGAACAGTCCTCAGATTGGACATATTAATAATTATTATGCAAGTTAAGAATGTAGATGTAGACAACTTGAGGGACCACAAGAATGACATTTGAGAAAGTTCCAGATTGCTTTCATTATATATTATCTTTTAACCATAAAATGTATGCATATATTAGTTCAAGATATCATAAATATAAAGTGTGTTTTTAAATATATGTAAGATTATTATGTCAAGAAACAGATACCTTGTCTCTGATAGTCACTCCTCCCTTAAAGATGGAGATGTCGCTCATGCCATATTCAGTGTACATTTAGTGCTACACAGATGCATTTAGTATTACACAGAATGACTAGTATCTATCCTCTTACTAACCGAGCACCTGGGCCATACTGGAGAATGTTGGCCCAAGGCCATGGCAGTACCAACTGTGCACAGAAAAGTGCATACACAGGAGTTTTTCCTCATGAGTTATGAAGTGGGTATGCAGTTAAAGATGTCTGTTTTAACATGCTTTAATTTGTATACACGTCATTATTGAGCATTTTCAAAGGATTGCCCCTGGTAATATCCGTAGTACTGTAATGATATCATGATATATCCCTGGGATATATCCATAGCAGTAGTAAGAAATCCCTTGATATCAAGTAGGATATTTACGTGGATGTCTATAGAACTACCACTGCCATAGCCCCTCTTACCAGCATTGCTTCACATTAAATATACCTCTATACTTCACAATCTTTTAAATTGTTTTACTCTGACTTAAAGACAAAATAAATGTTATTTAGTCCCTATTAGCAAAATCACATTTACAGTCAGACAAAGTGGGTTTTTAAATTGAAACTCTGCATTGTTTCAGTGCAGTGTTCCAATATTCATATTTGCCTGAACAAGTTGCCAGTTCCATTTTTTTCAGTCAGTTTTGGTTTTCATTTTCCTGTGTAAAATTAAATGATACCACTTTGGTTTCCCTATGATTGACTGTTTAATAACAGACTAAAGGAACAGGTAACAGGTTGAGTTTATACAAATTCTAGCACATTACCTGTAGTATCTGGGGACATTAATACTATAAAATCTAAAATTGCACTTCAAAATTGAATCTGCAAAGCCCCAGGTTGCAGAGAAAGTCAACCTGTTACTCATTTCTCTCAAGCTGTTGATAAACTGCTGACTGTAATGCAATTATTTTCTCCTTCTGTAAAACAGAGGCAGGTATTATTTCATTTTACAAGAAAAAAGCAAAAACTGGAACTTGTCAAATAGAACTAATTGATAACTTGTTTGAGCAAATTTGACTTCCAAATTGCTTCAAGGAAAACTGTCAATATTGAAACACTCTGCTGTAGCATTACAAAGTTCCTGTGAAATTTACCTAAATGGAAATATTCCAAACAAATTGGACCCTTCATATCATGATCAATGTGCAGTTCCAAAAAATATCCACACTCCCTCCACAGAAGGGATTGGAATTTCCTGGTGATGGGGGGTTCTGTATGACCAAAAAAAATAAAGAAATGTATGAGCTTAATTGGAATTTCCAGAGGAGTAGGGGGGGGGGGAGGGTCTTAGAAAAAATCCCTTCTGTGGGGGAGGTATGGATATTTTCTGGAACTACACAATGCAACCCACTAAACAATATTTTTTAATATTTGGGGCCTTTTAAGGCCTTTGCAAGGCATTTGACAATTTAATATGTGAACAATCACTGTTAATTTTGATTTAATTCTGAAAGAAGAAAGTATAAAGGGCTTAAACATATATACATGATATCTAACTATGTACCTAATTGTAAAAATTTCAAGTTATCATAAGCAAAGTAAAAAGTGTTCCTAAAGACCTGAAGCTGACGATACGCCTTTGTCGTCTGTAGTACATTTTCCATTTGAAAGGAACTCGAAGATTACAAATTAAGAAAACAGCAGCACATCCCAATATAAAGAAAAACAACCGCACAATGAATGGTAGTTTCCTTGTTTCAACAGTCTAGAAAAGGAGAAAAGAAATTTGTGCATTATTATGTTTACCAGTCCTATATATTAAAAGAATTTAAAAAAAAAAACATTCACAGCTACATGTATCATGCAACCATCGCAAAATAAATTGATGCAAACTAAAAAAAACATGATTATTTTTTTTCGCATAAATTCCTAGAGCTAGCTCTTAAACACACAGCAGCTTAAATAAACCATCTCCCTGACATACCTCATCATTCGTCCATTGTTCAGGAATGGTATAGAGCTGCATTTCTTTCCAGAAATGCATAAAATAAAAGAGGGTTGGGTATAGACGGTGGACAGCCTCCAACTCATCCTGTATTGAGTTCAAAGAGATTAAAAGTCTTGTTAGTAGCGGTCTCCCCACTTTCTTGTATCAAGAAAAATTCATACAATATTGCTAGATTACCATAAAGTACGTTCACTATGAAATTCTGTGCTTATGGTAAAGGCCATTTGGTAGCCTAAATATTCATATGGAGGACTCCTCATGAGAAGGATTTCTACATGTGAGATCTGTGGAGAGGTGTAGTTCGGGGAAAATGTTTTTAGAGAAGGGGGTGGCAGAGAGAGATGTGGATGGGTATTATAACTGTGAATGTCATATGTGATAGTACACTGTAGTATCATACATCATACTCAAAACCACTCAAATTCAAATGACATGTTTAACCTCTATTAACAATTGCAACTTCTCTTTAACTGACAATTCTTTTTAGAAAATATGTGCTGATTGGTTAAAAACTGTTTCCATAACTCGATAGAAACATACATCAAGCATGAGCTGTTGATCTAACGATGGCAGGAGTAATGAGAATTTACATTTTGATGATCAAAGTGATCACGTTGTTTTCTACTTTTTCATTGCAGTATTTTCTAAAAGATGTAGAAAACATGTTCTCTTTGTTTCTATGAAGTTTTAGTATAAATCTACTAACACTCTATCACCAACGCCATTCACTAATTGGCTACACCACCTACTGTACTATCTATTCTGTGATAGATAGTGAGTAGTGTAGCTGTGTGCCCTTGTTAACAAGCTCATAATCTAATATTGTTTAATAGAATGGAAGTCTGGAAGAACTCAAAAAAGCTGTGGAAACGCTCACCTTTTGGCTTGTGTTCCCAGAGCATTTCTCATTCTCCCAAACTTTCACTTGTGTTTCTACAACTCGATAGAAACACGGCACATGTTTTCTATTTCTTAAATATCTGTAAGTAACCATGAGAACCTGATAAAAGTTTTGTCATACCTGAAGGCTCTCACTCGGAGGGTTGAATCTACTGAAACAGTCCTCTTCAGCAACTCTAGATTGTGTCTCTTCATTTCCCCACAGAAAAATTTTGTATGTAAATGGAATCTAGTAAGGAAAGTAACAAAGAAACAAATGTTTCCTTTTGTAAGTAAGCAATAAACAGATCATGTGTACTGAAGGCATCCGTGATCAAGTGTCAGTTGATACCCTCTCGCTCGGCCCTTGGTTGACACTCAATCAACATCTCAATCAACATTTGATAGATATCTCAAATGATACTTGGTCGACACTAGACCAACACTCGATCAACATCTCAACTACACTCAATCGACAGTCAGTTGAAAGTTGGCCGAGTGTTGACTGACTCACATGCATTGATTGACACTTGATGGTGTGTCTGCAAATATTAGATGATTCTGACCGATCATCAACCAAGATGTTGATGGACCATTGTCTGAGTATTGATCGAGATGTTTATGGAGTATTGATCAAGTGTTGATCAAGTTCTGATTGACTGTTGATCAAATGTCAATTGAGATGTTGATCAAGAGTCAATCGAGGGTCAATTGATAGATCGACACTGAACCACGGATGCCTTTAGTACTGTACATGATGCTAATAAACTAAACTTGATTTTTGGGGTCACATGCAGGGTTCATATTTTATAGCTTCATTTCAGATAAATATGTGAAAAGGAATAAGGATTGTTAGATACTGAACATGACATCTTTAACAGTATTCAGATAAAACTTATAGTAAATAATTTATCATTTTATATCACTGGAAGAGATATCATTTAGTAATTCACAGTTAGAAGTTAACAATGCTTCATTTCACCTGTTTCTCTTCAGTTGCATAACTAAAAATACTTTGACCAGCAAGATCAGTGATATTTACAGGAACGAGTGCGTGGTCTGACATCAAAGATGATGAAAGAAGGGATGCTAAATAGAAGACATCTGTACCACTAACTTTGGAATTTTTTCCTGTGAAACAAAATCATTTTCAGTTAAAAGCATTGTGATGCACAATAGTCATATGTTCAAGCTTTCAGAAACTCCTGTCAGTATATAAAATACCGAACTTTAAAAAGCCCTGAGCAAACCTCAAGCACCTCTTCAGCTGACTGTTGGTAAGAGGGATCTTAGTTCACAAATTAATATTAGAGAAAACAACATACGTTACTGTCAACAGATTACAAAAATGTACAGTCTGCATTCAAGCCTAGTGGCCCACCAGGGCAGTGCTCGCAACATCTCTGGTGTCTATGAAATGACAGTGTCTAAGAAATGACAGTTGTACATCAGGTTCCTCCCCCCTGGATAGTATGCTAGCTCATTGTAGTGTAGCCACCAGTATGTAAGTATTCAATTCACCAGTGCTCATTTACACACCTGGGTGGATAAAACAACACAACATGATGATTTCGCCCAGGGCTCAGACCAGACTGCTCAGTCTGGAATCCAGCACACTAACCATAAAGCTATTTTTTTTACCAACAACAATAATCTTTATTTTCTTTCATTGTAAAATTACATGTTATTTTGCCCACGGATAGCTATCCACCTTTCCAGCTACAAAAAAGCCCTTAAAACAAACAACCTACACTCAGTAAATTCACAATACAATGCTCTTCCAGCTTGGCTCAAAACCAACCCTTAGAGGATCATGTGTTCTAATTACATTCGCAGTTGAGTGTAGATCAAGATGTTGATCGAGGGTCGATCGAGGGTATCGATCAACACTCGACCAACATGCGACCAGGGATTCCTTTAGTACACATAATCCCACTTAGGTAGTTACTTGAGTGACAGGCCTACCTATTGTTGGAAAAACTATTTGTCTTTTTCCTGAATGAAATGAAATAAAGGCATCAAACTGTTTTTCAGTGGTTAACTCCCTTATAACCATACATTCTGGCTCTGAAAGGAAAGAAAATACATAAAATAGATTGGCTACACTAATTTACTGCTGTACAGTCTATTACAAGGAAATGAATGGTTAATACTGGTTCAGGCATTAGACAATGAAATGCTTATTTACGAGCAAAATGTTTAGCACAAAACAACTTCCTGCACATCTGGACAAAATACAAGAGACATCTTCCCAACTTTATAAGAATGTGTTTGATAACCAATGAATAAAGCAATTTAATATAATATAGGCAAACACTTGACTTCGTCAAAATCATTTTTATTTCCCCCAAGTGGAAGATTTGGTGAGGATCTAGGAGAGAGTTCTGGGAGAGTATCTCTACTTCCCTGACCCTTCCTTCCCTTATTAGTGCACAGATTAATCAGCTGTCTTCAATTACCCCTCCTTCCCCACCCTCACTTGTCATCATTAATTTGCTTAACCACAAGCTACCCTGTCACCAATATTGCTGATAGTATTAAAACCAACTGAAGATTTCAGCCTTACAATATTATCTCCTCAGAGCTTTATTATCTAGCTCTCTGCACGCACTGCAGGCCTATGATGCTCCCTCATCATAGGCCTGCAGTGCGTGCAGAGAGCTAGATAATAAAGCTCTGAGGAGATAATATTATTTTCCATAAATGTGGTATTACATGACTGTGTGTTAACCAGATAGTAGCAAAATATCAATAATCATGAACACTGAAAGTGGACACAATTAATAAAAATAAATCGATCAGATTTAACACATCTCATCAGCTACCCCCTAGCTGATCAGGGATCTTGTAAAAATATACCACTCAGTTTGGCAGCCTAAATTAAGTTCGGCATGATCACTTAGCACAGCAGACTCTTGCTGTGACAGCAGTAGCGCGACTTGGCTTCAAACGGCATGCTCTTACCAAACCGAACTGAATTCATAGCCTGCTGCATCAGCTGCTATTGCTTTCCAGCATTTAAAATGGTCTCCAGCAGAGTAAATTTCTTCCCATCTTTTGCAAGACTGGATTAAATTTGATGTGTGAAACCACTGTTGTTCTTTTGTCATGCCACTGCTGGGCCAAATTCATTTGAGTTCGGCACAGCAGTAGCACAACGCTTGGGCTAGGCCTTAACCAGTCAGATGTAAAACCACATCAACTGTGACTTGCTTACATACGTTTTACCACTCTTCACACCAGCTACATGTACAATTACAGACCCATCTCTCTCCTGCCCATTTTGTCAAAGATATGCGAGAGAATTGCTTTAAATCAGTTAATGCCTTACTTGTTGTCGAATGAAAGGCTGTCTGTAACGCAAAGTGGAAGTAAAAAATTCCACTCGACAGAGACACCACTAATACACACGACCGACACTATCCTTGGTGGAATAGATAAAAGGAAAAAAACTGCAGTAGTATTATTGGATATGAGTAAGGCCTTCGACAGTATAAACTATGACATTTTACTGTAGAAACTACAAGACGTCGGTATTTCATCTTCGGGCGTCACTCGGTGTAACAGTTATTTATCTCAAAGCCATCAAGTCATTCGTATAAATAAGGAATTGTTGGAGCCACTACCCGTAGACAGCAGCGTACCACAAGGGAGTATCCTGGGACCTCTCCTTTTCAGTACATATGTGAACCATCTACCATCAGTTTTTAAGTACTGTCAATCTGAAAGCTATGTTGATGACACTAAACTCCACATTTCCTTCTCAGTTCAAGACTGGGTTAATACTATCCTTGACATTGATGATGATCTCTTAAGAATTCGTAACTGGTGTTTTGACAATTATCTCCTCCTGAATCTAGATAAGACAAAGCTTATGATATATGGAAGTCGTCAGCTTCTCTCCAAACTCCCTGACGTCCGTCTTTCATTAATGGGGAATGAACTCTTACCCGCAAAACTTGTCAAAGACCTTGGCATTACATTTGACTCGAACCTCACCTTTTCTGATCACATCCTTAAAACTGTTTCATCCTGTGTATCTAGCCTAGCCCAAATTAGTCGCGTTGAGCATGTGTTTGATAAAAACACTCTAATCATTATAATCAATGCCTTAGTTTTCAGCAAATTGTTTTATTGTTCGTGGGTCTGATCAAATGCAGCAACTACTAACCTCCTCAAACGTCAAGAAGTGCAGAACTTTGCTGCCCGAATAATTAGTAATACCAGAAAGTTCAATCATGTGACCCCAGTCCTAAAAGAGTTACCCTGGCTGCCAGTTAAATCACAACTGTATCATCGTGACACTGTGCTTGCTTTTAAATGCATGACTGGACAAGCTCCCGCTTACCTTTCATCACTCTTTTTAAAGCGAACGGAGATAAGTGGCTGCGAGACTCGAAATTCCCAACTTATAAACATTCCTCTTTTTAAGACCTCTACAGGACAAAGGACTTTCTACTATCAAACAGTGTCATTATGGAATAGTTTAGAAAGAAATCTTAAGCTAAGTGAATCTCTGAATATTTTTAATCGAAGATTACGAGGTAAACTCTGAAATGAATTTTTATTTTCATAATACAATATTGTCACAAAATTCTACCTTATTTCATATCATTTTTATAATTCCTTGGTATGTTGATTTATTTCATTTTAACTTTAAGGTAACTTATTTAGCAGTATTAGTACTGAAAAGCCCCCATGGAGAGTGCTAATAAAATTTGTACTGTATTGTATTGTATACTTGCTTAGAGTTTTGATTGGTTCAGTGGATGGGCCAGAGTGATTTTGATGTTTGTTTTTTTATGACACTCAATTGAAGAACACTCAAGTTTGCTTGATCACATTATAATCTTAATCTAAACCCCAGCCACAACTGAGGAGAAACTGTTGAAGCTTTACTGAGTCCAATACTGAGAAATATTGGACCTACAATTAAGTGTTTTGATTGGCTGATTTTTGTTATTGGCCCTCTCAGTTTAACCTTATTATTCAAGTAATAAAGAAGGATGAAATTTCTTATTTATTTGTGACTGTATTCCCTGTTTGTAGAACAGAACCAGACTCAAATATTCATTTAAATAAAAGAGCATTGAGTAATATAATAAGCCTAGGTTTATCTTATTGAAATGATTAATAACACAGTCGTTCAAAACGCGGGAAAAAAAGCTGTGAGAGTAAATAAGATTATTAAACAAACCTGCTATATTTCTGTCAGCAAATTTCCCATCCAGATCAGAGTTAAGGTCGGCGTTATTTGCAGTGCCCATCCAGCAATAGTTTCGGGTTTGTTCAATGATTGCCCGGCCATCTGGGTTTACAATTGTCACCAGGTACAAATCAAAATTGTTGAGTAAGAACCGGGTAAAATTACTCCCATATGTCCCTGGAGGTAAGTCGATACCTTGAGTTACATTTTGCAGCAGGTGAAACAAACTTTGCACTGGAAAAAACTCAGCCGCATGTTCACCATACGAAAGCAATATCCTCGATCGCCTGTCTAATTTGTTCTCGATAATTGAATCAAGTGAAAAGTTCGAAATGCGAAGAACGTACTGTGAAAGTCCAAGCCTGGAACGGTATCTCATCTGTACATCCACAAGTTCAGAATACTGCGCAGAAATGTGATGCAGGCATTCATTCATCATTGTGATGTTGTGATAAAACTCGTAGTTTGGAAGATAGCTTTTAACGGAGGGTTTCATATCAAAAAACGTCCCTTTGGAAACGCGAGTAATAAGGAAGAATGCGGCTACGATACACCAGCTAGAAAGGTCAAAAAGATTCATTTCTTGAATCACCTTGAATAAAACTTCTGCCCTTCTGCATCTGCCCTCAAAAATCACCATCTGCGAGCTTCGTTCGATAATGATTGAGTATTATCCTTGATCATCATGATAGTGGCAAGAAGAGGTACACCGTAGATAATTTAAATTTCATGAAAGCACTTTCAACGGCGGCGCCATCGCGCTTTTTTTTTTTTTACGACGGATGTTAACCGCTGGCTATACTGTGGACTCAATGCACCATTTCTTCCGTCGAACCTTCGTCA